CATGAAGGGTGCGCTGCATCCTGCTAAGGGTTTTCGGCATCTTGTGCTTACTTCCTTGCGTACGGATGACTATACATCCAACGATGCGCGCTCTAGCCGATGCTATTCCCGACACGTCTGACAACTGGGCAAGCATGCACCGCAGGTTGAGAATAGCGAACAAATGAACCACGCTGAAAAAAATAAGTCAACGCCGCCCGGCCGGACCATGCCCTTTACCTGCTCACGGGACTGTGCTCCTTGTATTCCATAGTGAATTCCCCTTTTCCTTGAGTCGACGATCGCAGGTCCGTAGAGTAACCAAACATCTGGTGGGAAAAAGTAAAAAATAGTGGGATACATTATGCTCCAACGATCATTTCGTGACGCGACGCGTAGTTGCCACCCAAATCAAGGTCGTGAGGCTGTTGGAACAGCCAGTTTTGCGGGGTTCTCGTGTCCACACAAACAGGATACATTTTGGCACGGACGGTACAGTCCAAGCGATACCACACGCCCACACAAGGTCCCACCGACCGGATTACATTCAGGCAAACACAGGAAGCCCTGGCATGTTCTTTTCGTGCTTTCTGAGCATTTAGCACGAAACCCACCACAGGCATACCGGGCAGTTTGTGATAAAAGCATGTTCATATTTTCTTAGACAGTTTTATTCGACGTCGATGCCTCCTCCCGCAAACCCACAACAAAACAAAAATATGTATCGACGGACGACAACGGACCACACCAAATCATGTGTGGTTTGGGGGAAGACATAAGGACATCGAGACCTCCAACAAAAGCTACAACTCACACCCAAATCTCACCTGAGCCAAAGGAACATCAGCCTGGATCACACAACCAGAACCATCGTCACTCATGTCGGTGTTTTGGATAATCCCTGACCGTTTATTGATGCCCCCGATCACAGATCCTTGGAAGTCATTTGGTGCCATCACCTAAGTAGCCGTGAACTGAGTGTTAAGCTCGCGACGCGTGCGGCAGCATGGACGCAGACACATCGCTACGTATTTGCACAGGGTACCAATGTACGAATACTCCAACACATCGCGAGAACAACAACCCACAAGTCAACCCGCTGGGCACTTGAATACGAGCCCAGTCGGAAGGCAGCGTATTGTAGCTGCTGTTATTTCATGCGAAAAAAAGAGAAAACAATAAAACACGCAACCCCACACCAACTCCACCTGCGAATTGACACTATGAAGAGTTCTACAGTGAGTGAAATGAACCGTCTCGACCTCTCTAAGCCCGGGAACTTCCACGAGGTAAGCAAACTAGACGGCAAGCTGACGCCGATCACTACATTATTTTAGGACAAGAAAAATTGAGTAAACAACCGGTTGGCGCGGGTCAATCCCAATGGCTGCAGTTCACGATAGCACGAAGACGGACAAAACACCACGCCAACCAAAATCGCGAAGGTATCAAAGCCTGTTGCAGACACCCTTTCTCACCTCCACAGACATGATTGGTTCCAGTACTTGCGCTCCCGCCTTTAAGATGGACTCTCGAACAGCCATCAATGCCGCGAAACGGAACGCCATGTCGCTGGAATCTACTGTGTGAGTCTGCCCATCTTCGAGAACCACTCGAACCCCCTGAACTGGATGCCCAATTAAGGCCCCCTTCTCCATCGCTTCCTTCGCGCCTGTGTTGGAGAGAAAACATGAGGGACAGGAGACAAAACGGTTGGAGTATTCACACTTGTACCTTTTGCACAACGATCTCGGTGGCAGAGAGAAATGAAAAGAACTTGGACGTATCTAATAACTTGATGGCATCATCGGGCTTCCGACAGAGCCGTCTTGAACTCTCAAGGGAATCAGCAGCAGTTCATTTAGTAAGTTGTGTCATCCAATCATGGTGACCACGAGGCACAGAAAGCAGGTCAGGCGACTACCTTGCCATGTGACGCAACTAGTAGAGCAATATGTGCTCAAGTGTCTGGAATACCTTTTTCCACCGACGAGATGTATTCCGGCGGGATGTTCGATCCCACTGTCCGATTTTGGAACTCGAACTGTACAGGGTCGTTGTTGTCATCCCGCGTCTCGTCAGGAATAGGTTCGACGAAGCCCATGACGCGCGCAAATTGCCCTGATCCTCCCGTCTGCTTCTTGTGCAGGTAGTGGAACGGCACCTTCTTCGTGATCGTTTCCCGGTAGTTTACTTGTGGCTGGCCGACGATGGTTTCAACATCGTACTCGCGTCTGACGCAAAAGGTCGCACAGGTAGCAGCACGCCCGCCAAGAAGGGGTGCACTGGTGAGTGCGTTGTGAGCGCCAGAATATGTGTCTTTGCAGATTGAGCTACACATCTTGAAAGACGTGGTCTATCAAACGAGAAAGTCACCACTGTTGCTAACCACATTGCAACTTTCGATCTGTGTCTTCTCAATCGCAACAGATGAACAAGTCCGAGGCCAGCGATGTCGCGTCGCGTCCTACGAAAGGGAAACAGTGGCCAGGAAGCCGATATCCGATTACGGAATAATAAATCATCTCTGGAAATTGATTTGCCCAAATAGCTAAAATGGCGATGAAACCTTCAGCACGCCGGAGTGAGCCTGCCAGCACGGTCCACCCGACCCGAGCAAGTAAACAAACGCACGCCACAACGCCACTGATCATCTGGCCTCTGGGGCATCAACCGACACGATTATTTGCTGGAGAATGTGCTCTAGGTAGTGTTTTGACAAAGGACGCGGGAATTGTGTCTGGGTGCGTCATTGACAAACGTGTGGCCGCAAAATGGTCCGGCCGTTTACTCGAATTTTGGACCCGATCTAAATCTCGGCAAATGCCCACAACTTTTACAAGAGCCTCCGATCGGAACCCACGTCAAAAATGGAGCGCCGACAACTCTGGCACTATATTCTTGCCACTGACTGCTTCATTGACTGGCATGCACCCTTCGTCAGAGTACTGGAGCGCAAGTTCCAGAAGGGTTGTCGGTCGATGCCTCAACGACAAGCCGAACGATCAGCAGTGCCGTTGCGTGCTGAGTTGATATTTGAAATTGTTTCTTGTTTCTCCAGCCTGACAGGGAGGTTCTCTGTCATTTTGAAACGAGAAGGACTCCACATGTCGAGAGGTGCTTCTTCAGGATCGGAAAGAAACAGGCTTCCTCCGCAAGAAAGGAAAACCGATCGTATCGGCGCGCATGAAAAGGGGTCCAAAGGTATTCAATCGAGAACAATCGCATCGACTCTTGCAAGATTTTCCAATCCTGCGATAAACAAGCTGGCTACTTAATTCACGCCTGAATGGAGGATTCTGGATATAGCAGGGGCAGCAACAAACTATCCTGATCTGCATTTTTTTTACACTCTAATGGTGGTGGGCAAGCAATCAGAATTATGGCTACAGTACATACACCAACATAGCGTACCTCAGTCGCTCTACATACACCTCCAGATGCAGCTCGCCCATACCGCTCACGATTGTTTGCTTGCTGTCGTCGTCAGTGTGTACCCGGAGCGTAGGGTCCTCCTTGGTGAAGCGGGCCAACGCCTAGAAACGGACGCAGTTTGGGGCCCATAGCTCAATTCAGTTGGACATTCTGAAGGAACGGAAGCTGTTGAAACCAAAGATCACTTGCATCGTCCACACAGCGACACGCATGCCCTTAGATAAAACCACACAGCGGCGATTGTAGTTCAGCTTTAACACATACGGTATGGCATTCTGCACGGAGTACGTTATCTTTCTTCGTCGTATCACGTCCTCCTGGGGTGCTTGACAAGTTTTCGGCGTATTTGGAGCCACCCGTCCGTCGAGAACTTACCAACGGCCAGACAGGACTAGCCACCAAGTGGAGGAATGCCACTGATCGCACCTTGCTGAATTTGTCCGCGGTGTCGCTTCCTCCACCTTTCTTGCTTTTCTTTGGAGTGATCGCTAAAGACATCACAGGTTCCGGCACGAACATGGAAGTCATCGCCAGCTGCGTCCTGGATTGAAGGCCGGGCGTGTGCAGGAAGTGGGTATCGAGCTCAATTAAGCGGAGCTACACTCCTATACGAACGACCTATGGCAACATCTTGTCCGCAAGCGTCGTGCTGGAAAGGGTCAACACTCGAACGGCCGCATCAGCAGCGGTTGTTTGCTGCTCTCGCATCCGTCCGCAGGAAGGGCGCGGATTGACGACGTTTGCTAGCCTCACGCAGCTACATGCGCAGAAAATGTCAGGTCTCAGTCTGCACCAATGATGCTCTGGTGCCAAACGACATCAGGGTGGCAATAAACTGCCTAATGAATAGATGCCTGCATTGAATCGTGCCTGTTGGTAGTTGATCACGCACTCGAAGCCTTCGCCTACCTCGGTTGCTTCAACATGCGAAAAAAGCCACAAACAACGCGATGGCTACCTTCCGTCGGTAAAGGTGTCCATGGAGGAGCAGTCGACGCCAAACATCGCCACCACATCTCCTGCCGCCACTGTATCGACGTCCTGTTTATGGCGCAGAGACGTGGTACATCAAGAGCGATCGACACAATTCCGAGAAAGATAGAACCGCTGATCGGTCGCCCCGGTGGTCTAGTGGTATCCTCGAAAACCGCTATTATAGTCGCAACGGTCGTGAGTTCGAATCCCCATGGGATGAAAAATTACACAATTTGAGGGTGAAAGCGAAATACAGCTGAAACAGCTCTCGCGAGTATCAGACTTCGACGTTAGCATCGTTGACGAAGGAAAGGGACGGCTGGACCCTTCTCGCGATAAATCAAACTTCAGCACGCACCGAAGGAGGAACGCGAGACACGAAAAATAAATAGAAAAAAACAAAAAAAAGTCTTGGTTTACCCCCTGCTGTGTGACCCTGGATGGTTTTAGTTGTAAAATAAAATGTACTGAAAAGTGTAGCACCCCAAATACACTGGAGAGAATGTAGTACACGTCTCAGCACGAAGAATGGGGGACTATCGCCATAATAAATAGGACGAAATCACGCACATAACACACTGTGCTCTTGACAAACGGACAACGTTCTACGGAACATACCTGCATTTCTGCTGAGTGCATGCGCACAAGACGTGGCACCTTCAACTTCTTCCCGCTATTGAGGTTGAACAACATGTCCCCCTTGGAGATGCTCCCCTGTGAAAAATGTGCAAATATGGCGGCCGAGGTCACAGATGTGTGATTCACGCGTCCTACATGTATGGTGAGAGCAGGATAGTTCAAGCCTGCGAAGAATCACTCCTAATGCCCCACGCTCGAGCACCGAGTCAATCCTACCCAATTTTCCAGCGGCTGAACGTACCTGATAAAGGCGCATGTACGTGAGCTGGCCGAACTTTCCTTCTTCCAACTTGAAGGCCAGGGCGAGAGTAGGCGAGTCCGGGCAGCACTCAACAAGCACCTGCGAGGGTAACCCGGAAATGAAATAACCACTGCTGAGCGGGTGTGATCACAATGCTGCGCTGGAGCAAACTTAGAATTGCCCTTGGTCCAAACCTTGTGAATGGGATACATTCGTCACCTTCTTCTCGTCATTTGTTGTATCCAGGGCGAAGTTGGGCACCTCCAACGGGTTCGGCAAGTAGTCGACTACACCGTCGAGCAGCAGTTGCACTCCCTGAAGGCCAATGCAGGAAAAGCGAGGGTTTGTGAAAGGCTAGAACAGACAGAAGATGGACCTATCAATAGACGAAACTTGAAACAATGCTCGCGCTTACCAAAAAATCAAACATGCACCCTCTGGCATGGCCTTGGGTTCCAACTTGCGCGAACGAACATGACCGCCCGTGCATGATGGGCCATGCAGTCAGACGCACGATTATCCAACTTCTCGGAGGTGAGTTCGGACATTGATCCCGAGCGTTGGAGACCATACCCCGCCGAATACGACGTGGACCGTTCAAGGTGTGAGAGGGTCCAGCGTCAGAGAGCTGGGTGAAGATTGCTCGGTCTCCTCCGACCTCGGCTGAGCGCAAGTGACCGAGCATGTCCTGCTAGCTTACCTTATTCTTGTAAGCTGACCCCATAAACACTGGGACGAACTTGAGAGACACCGTCGCTCGTCGCATCGCCGCCTTTAGCGTGGCATCATCTACCTGGAGGTACGAGACGAGCAACCGGGACAGCAGTGGTGACTTCCATGCGCGCGGCGACATCGGTACGTTCGAGTTGCACCTGGACAACAACTCAACAGGCAGCTCAAGCGTGGGGTTTGATATCCCAACAAGTCCCAGACATGGAACAAATCCCACATAACCTTTCGGACATGATGCTCGTACCTCTTCCTCCATCAGGAACAGCTCTGCCACGTCCTCATCCAGATCTGCCATCATTTCGACGAGCAGCGCCCTTCCAGCTACCACATCATCCTGCACGGAAGGGAACCATGCGACGAGAGCTGTAAGTGCAACGCCAAACACACACCAAAACTAAAAGCGCTAATGAGAGCAATCGAAATTTGTCACTAAAGGCAACCCAACAACAACAGGTTGTAGATCGAACTCTTCCCCATGCCGTCTGATGAATGTTGGCTTGGGACACTTTCCTGTTGCTTTTCTGCATATAAATCTTGCACTATTTATTTCTTCCTTTGTCCCACCCATTCCGGGCGCCAGTCTAAATCTTTTCTCCTGCGGTGCTTGCCTTGCACTTGTCATGCGAGAGGAGTGACCCTGTTTGTGTGTACTCGAGACTACTATGTGCTTTTCACTTCTACACTTGTTCGTGTTAAATTTTATAATTTTGGGCTCGCCCTCGCTCCTACTTATGCCGGGAAGGCGTCAGCCTCTATTTTTGCAGGCCCTGATAAATGCCTACATCTACAGTACCGCATGCGAAACCTTAGCCGCGCGCAAGGTTGCCAAATCAACGAGCACCGAAGTTTGAGAACAAACACGTGCTCCCGAGGCTGACCTAAGAGTAATGGTGTGATTTACTACGAGCGGACTATGGTGCGGAGGCCGGAACTGACGCGTGGAAGCCAAAACGAAGCCAAAACGAATCTAGCGTGGTGTCAACTGCGAGTACGTACCTTCATACTCTCAGGCACGGCAATCTCATCCACGTTTTCCCCTTTCACACCCGTAAACTGGTAGGCCTTTCCGCAGACGAGGTCGACAACTCCCGAGTGCCCATCTTCCAAGCCGATGGGCAGTTGGACGGCAGCAGTGTTCAGCTGATCGGAACGTCAAGCGTGGGAATTGAGAGCATCAGATTGAAGAAAATAATCCGTACCATCAAGGGTGTGCGCGGTAAATAAATTCAACACACGCAAGCCCATGAATCGACAATCTGGGTCTGTGCGGGGTTGGGGGGGAGGGGGGGGGGGGCGNACGGAGCATTGTTCCCACAGGACCGATCACCGATGGCCAATCGTTCCTTCCTACTTTGCCAAAGGTGGCTCAATAATGTCGTCCCTAGTCTGTCTATCCTGACGATATCTCTTCCCGCCTTTTCAAACCGCTTCCTATTCCCCAGTACAGCTACCGTCCTCTCCCCTCTATTACATGCCTCAAGCATCTCCCTGTGCCTCCATTGTATTTTTCCCAGCTCAATCACGTACACTTCCCTCTCCTTGTACAACGGACATTCCGCTACTACATGAACACGGTCTTCGCATTCGAAGCCGCAATCACATTTGAACTCGTCGTCTTCGTCGTCTACCGTCCTATGTCTTCGTCGACGTTCTCGAAGGCCCATGTCCCCGGTCCTGAATTTGACCTTAAGCTTTGTTCCTGCATCCATTGGTCCATGTAGGTAATCCTTGAACCCTATTCCTTCCTTCAACATTCCGTACACTTCTAGACCCTCCTTATCCTTGGATTCTTTCCTTAGATTCTGTTCTTCTCTCTCGGCACAAGCAACAGATATCTTCTCCTTGAACCCCTGTAGACCCTCCGTTTCCAGCGTTTCATCTTCGTCGATGTCGAGCCCCTTCCATACGTCCTCTACAACCTTGACCCATTGCGTGGGGTGTCTACCCCCCTTATTGTTTGCCCACTTCGCCTCGCATACTGTTCTCGGCAACCTCTCCTCTCCCATCCCGCACATGCGATATTGCCATGTCNAAGCGCTTGGAGCATCCTAGGATGAATTTCGCTGCTTTCATCTGCGCCGCCTCGAGTTCTTTCACTATTATACCTTCTTATTTCCTTCCCATACTTCTTCGGCGTACTCTAGCGGCGGTACGATTACGCTCTTCAACACCGTCAATTTGATGCGTGTATCGAGGTGCCGGTTTGCGAGTATTGGGTGCAGCTTCCCTGCTCGTGCTTTGCCCTTTTCCGCTACCTTGGACATGTGTGCATTCCACGAGCAGTCTTTTGCGATCTCTACTCC